ATTTTTTGCTTTTCAACCTTAAGTTGATGAGAACGAATAGCAAAGTGGTTTGTAAGATATTCAACGAACGCAACCTAAATATTGTCATCTGCAGCCATTCATGCAACCTTAGCAGGTGGATTGCATATTAATGACAAGTAATTCGCCCATCGGTTGGTGTTTGTGATGCATTGCTAATAAAACGAATATGTTCATCTACTGCGCAGATAATATTGATAATTCTGCTAATTCCTATCTATTCGAGATCTACGTATAGAATGGGACGTTATGGCCGAAACCAGCACGCCTTCCGCTACCCTGGTGCAGATTCCGCTAGGTTACTCTGTCTATTATGATTCGACAACTAACGCGCAATATGAGCAGTTCCTACAATTAACTAATCCCATCCCGTTATGATGTGCGGCAGCCAGGCCAGCTCGGCGAAGCCGAGCTAAAAAGAAGGAGGAGAGCTCGGCGTCAGCCGGGCGATCCGACTGGTCCCTAACATTTAAAGCAGTAAAACCGAGCATAATTTATTAAAACAAAGACAAATATACAGGGTCCACGGAGGTTGGCGTACAGCTTGTCTCCGGGGCACGTTTATCAATAATGTGGGCGGAACAACCACTTGACCTTCTTCATTGGTGCCACTTTTCCTGTTTCGATCGCGTAAGGATGTGAAAAGGAGGGCAAAATAGTTGACTTTCTCCACCCACAGTACCAACAGGCTTTGGAGCTCTTGGAATGCCTACCTCTTCCCGAATCTCGTGCTGCTGTAAACTCCTATAAATTCGTTTCAATATTCGCCTGAAACGATGATCGAATTCCGATAGCATCACCGAGCGAGTGACATTCATTCGTGGCAGTATCTGCAATTGAACTTTCCGAGAGTGAACCTAGGCTAACGTGGAAGAAACCTCACCTGCTCTCCAACCATACTGCCAAGAAAAGCGCTTTCCGACTCATGCTGTTTATATGAACGTGGGCCACCATTGGCGCCGTTACTGCTAGCATAAGGCATCATTTCCAAGTTGTTCGCATGCTAAATGTAAGATAATTAGCTGGTTTAGTCAAAAAGCGATTTGTTTAACAGAGAGGTCTAGTCTCAAAAGAAGGTTACTTGTGGAGTTCTAGCCAGCAAACATGTGCCCTTCATAGGGGTCGAAAGTGTGCAAGATAAGGCTGCGAGGTAGTATGGGGCCTTTGAGGTGTGCCGCATGCCTGCAATGCCGGGATGGCTAAGCCTCACGGCGCCTCTCCTTCATCTGACGTCTCGTCCGTAAGCGTAGTCTCTCTCTTCGTCTCTCACCGTTGCACCTCCTTTTTTCCGAAAAATAAAGGGGTCTTCTTTAAGACGCTTTGGACGGTTTGCTGTGCTTTTCTCTATGGTAGAGTTAGCACTTTCACATACAGGGGGGGCCAAAAAAAGTCACTTTTCTTCATTGACTTTCGAGGCGCTATAAGTTACACTTTATTAAATTCTGATCGGACATTTTTACCACCATATCAAAGAGCATATCAAATACTATCATGACACTCCGCCACAGCCTTCTGGACGAGCGCCATCGAGAGATTCCGGCACGCGAACGCGCTGTGGTGCCTGAGATCAGCGAATGGTCGATTTCTCCGCCACCGTAGACCACCCTATTGAACTCCGCCCGAACCGGGTAATTGAGGGGATATTCCAGGTCAGCCCCTCCCATTCCAGCGCTAGCGGCGAGCGTTTCCTCCAAGCAACCTTCGATTTCATGTGGTGGCACTCAATGCTGTAGCAGTACAAAGTTTCCAGAGAAGGTACGGGCGACCACATATGTGAGGAGGATATTCTTCACGAGTTGCCCAATGTAACCGCAGGCGCCTCACCTTCAGTCCAGGTCCACGAAGAAAATATTGGTCTTTCCATTCCAGGTACGTCCGGTCCATACCATCAACCCGCGCCTTGGCGACTGCGGTGAAGATGATGTCCTAGACCGTGGCGACGTTGTCGGAGCTGCTCGATGTTGGAGGTCTTCCAGATCGAGAGTACTGGTCTCCAGGTAGCTATCCATGGGTGACTCCATACTAGAAGTTTCGCAGCTGTTTGGAGGAAAGGTCTTCTCCAGTTAGGCTGCTACTGGAGATGACCTCATATTTTCGGTGTACATGAAGGCCCGATGCGGCGAGCGCCAGCCCTCCTTGCTATAGAGGAACATCTTCGGGTATCTTCCGCCACCCTGGTTACCCGTATCGCCATGTCAATCTGTCTCTGGGCAGCGAAAACTTTGCCATGAGCATGTTGACCCTCGGCGAAGCTGACTTTTTGCCCCCCCCCCCGTATACAGCTGCACAAATTAAATTTCAACTCACGATTCTTAGCGAGCGAAATGCGCCTTCAGAGGCTTTGGCAGCGCTGTAAAGAAAGGCTTTAGGTGGGCGGAGACTTGAACCACTATATCTATCTGGCTGGCACAATTTCCCTTCACCGTTTTCAGAAGAAGTGTGAACCAGTGAGAACGAGACAGCGGCTGGTTGCACAGAAATTCTGATATTACACCAGGCTTGTGGCTCTGCCAGCAATTTTAAATAAAGGCGGCACTATTTACCCTTCACTGCCCCAGTCTTCCAAAAAAACAGGGCCAGTTTCTGACCGACTTTTTTCTGCGTTCACAGAATTGGCTGAAAATTTGCACCCTGGGGTAGTTTGACCTCCTGAACATGAATATCACATCCGCTCGGCACGAAACCTCCTGGCGCCCGCGCCACAGGCGCCAGCGCCAAAATACCCTTGAATCGCCAAATTCGCTGAAAACTTGTTCTCAGAGGTAGTTTGACTCCTGAACACGAATATCAAATCCGCTCAACTTGAAAGCTCTTGGCGCCCGAGCTACACGCGCTGGCGCCAAAATACCGCAAATCACCGCCGCCTGTGGCGCGGGCGCCAGGAAGTGTCGGGCTAAGCGAATGTGATATTCGTATTCAGGAGGAGACAAAACTACCCCGGAAACCAACATTGAGCCAAATTTGTGTCCACGCTAGAAAGAATTCGCGTCAAAAAACTTGGCTCAAATTCTGGATGTGCTGGGCAGTGAACAGAGTAAATAGCTGACCAAATAAAGATATACGTTGCAAGAAATCTCGCGACAAATTCGTAAGAGACTTATTCCCATCTTTTGACTTTCCTCAGTTCATTTTCGGCGCCCCCTCGTATCCACTTGCCTTTGATTGCGGAAAAGTGTAGCATTAGCAGCGTAATATGAATTCTTACGGTCGCGGCTTTGATCCCACACCCACATCTTTTTCCAGCTAGTGAGTACCTGCACAACTAGGCAAAGGTGTATCTCTAGAAAGTGGCGTTACTATCAAATCCATGCCCTATGCACCAGGCTATCCGAGCCTTTACTACTTTTATGTCAAACTAATGAAGCCGTATGCCACACCTAGGAATTGGCTAAAAACGCTGACCTGCGTCTCGTTATACTGAGTGCACAATCACGAATTCAATCCTCGCAAGGAGCTCCGTTAGAATCAACCGCTAGTCACCCTGGCACTGGAGAAGGGGCCTGCACACAGCGGAAAAGGGCCTCGATCAGGAGCAAACTCTTCCCTTCCCTGCAGTAGACTATTCTTATTGCAACCCGCCTTGCTAGGGAAGATCACAGCGCCGTATTAAATGGAAAAAGCCGAATACCCATCCTCACTGCGATTACACTCACAGCGCGCATTCATCTCCAGCTGAGACATTAATCTACTAAGACAAGGGCATGAATGCACACTCCACGCTACCCGCTGTGGGCGTGGCCTACAATATCTGCTTGCACCATGCACATCAGCAGTCGCTAAGGCAGGCGTTCATTACTCTGTAGCCGCTACAGCGGTCGTCGCTACTGCGTCGCGCCCTACAGTGTCGCGCTTACATAGCGTAGCGCCTACAGCGTTCGCGCGTACAGCGTCGCGCTACAAGTACTTTCAGCTTTTTATTTTTCCTTTTCCATATTTCATCCTCTTCTCTTGCTGCTCATATTTGTTTCATTAATGAGCTCTATTTTCTACTTATCACCAGTTTAATTAGTTTTTGATTTACAGCAGACTGTGATACTTGGTTTTATTATCGTTTTTTGACTTTAATATTTGGTTTCACAGTTGCTTGATGTTTGTTGGCTTTGCTTGATGTCTTGCAGTGCTGCCTCGTTTTGATCCCGATTGCGAAACTACATTAAGTGATAAAGTAGAAAACAGGAGCTCACTATTAGATAAATATGAGAAAAAGAGAAGAGGGTTGAATACAGAAAGAATGAATACAGAATCCAATGCCGCTTATCGATTATGGAGCGAAATCTGCTTTTAGAGTTTGCCCCCAATCTCTGCCTGGATCACAGGAAAAAGATTTATGCCGGTTTTCGAGGCATTCACAGCCAACAAAGCCTGACAGTTTCTTGTACTTTTTTTGGCCTAGGAGAGTATCAGTATTGAGTCGCATTTGTCGGCAGCAGAAAAAAATGGCCTTATCTCCCAAGGCACGCGAAGACTGTCTGATCACCAATGCGTTAGCACAATGCAAACAAGAAGTTCCTTTATGGTTCTTGTGTCTCCGGTAAAAAAAACATGCGTGCGTGTTTTTAGGTGGCGCGAGTACTCTTTGGGTGTTTTTTGCAGAAAATGCTCTTAATAGGACAGAAGGACACTGTTACGCAAAAAGCAGTACCAGAAAAATAGTGACTAATGGAGTAACTGTCAAGGATGGTCAGATAGTTACAGCTGTATCAGTCTCACCTTTCCGTGAATTTCTCAAGAAAACTCCAGCAACCTTCCCACTTTTCTCTGTAAGCAACTCTAATCATCCTAACGTTGGAAATTGCAGTACGTTGCGAAGCGGCGCTGTAGCGCGACGCTGTAGCGCGACGCTGTAGCGCGACGCTGTAGCGCGACGCTGTAGCGCTACAAGTATGAACGCTGCCTAAGTTAGCCAAATTCCCCTGTGGGAATTACTTACATTATCTTGGGTAATGCAGTCACATTCGGCGAATTGTGGTGATGCTCCTCTTTTATGGTCGAGATTTTTGATTACGTTTCAGATCCCGCAATATCGAACTCCGCCGTATCATCGACTTCTTAGTCTGAAAGTTTGCAATATTCACGATTAAAGACACATGGTACGCTCAAACACATTCGATGGTGTATGAAGGACTAACAACCCCCAGCTGTCGAAAATGTGTCGTGGTTTCCCGCCTGGAACTGCACGAGGGTCGGAAGTACGCGGGAACGTGCGAAGGCATTATTCCTTGCCTACACGCCCAAAATGCAAACTTTTTTGCGCGCACGGCCGCAAATGCCAATTTACGCGCGATGAATTTTGGGCGGTGTAGCAAGGAATAAGCCTTTCCCACGGTCCCGTACTAGGACCCCTTGGCGACATTGCGTCCCACTGCTGGGACGCACCTTTTTTGCCGCCGTTCGCGACATTGCTGCCCCACTGCTGGGATGCGGCATGGGTAAAAAACCAATTTGAAAACGTTTCAAATTTTCAACAGCTACATATTGTACAGGAAGGCATTGTAGAATATACAGTAGCTGCAAAACTAGCAGTTGTATCATTGGGAGTATTTTACGGAGGATACAAAGGAAAGTGATTTCCTTAGGAAAAAAAGGTAATTTTTGGATAAATAGAACTCAAGCTCCACATGTGGATAGCTAACGTAATAAGGTAACTTTCTACAATAGCAGATCTGGATCGAATCCAATTTACTGCCTTCTGGCGCCAAAAAATTCCTTTTTTTGCGGCACCTCTTTCCGCACGGCTTCCGCGTGTATGGGGCGGGAGTATTCCACAAAAATTAAGGGTTTACCTTGAAAGTAAAAAAAAACAGCAAAGTTTACTAGCTTCTGCATTGATTACTAGTCCTTCGTGCTGGCAGTGTTTTGGTGCTGTCCAACGCCCCTAGCATTCATGCGCATTCCTCAAAAATAGGGAAAAATGCTTCGTCCCACGCGGCAGACACGCGAAAAAGCGCCTTGTCGCCAATGTGTTAATGTGTTTGAGCGGTACCATGTGTCTTTAAGAGACATTGTGAAGTTAGGCATAAACTTTGAAAATAGCTAGTTATCTGAGTTTGCACACCATCTGAAATAGCAATCTTTGTTTACATCCGAGTTGAGGTGGGAAGGAAGGCGCTGTGCCTCCGAAAAAGAACTTTTTTTGCTTTCCACCGGCCACTAAAGAAAAATAGGCTTGGGGGGGCATCAAAAGGTACTCAGTGAAGCTTGTACAGGTTACCTTGTGATGTGATGTTGTAACCAATTGCACTATTTCGCAGATTCACATCAGTTCACAGGTTCCACAAGATGAGACGTGTTAACATGAACTAGCAGAGGGAGGTAGCGAAAGTGCAAAGTGCCCCTCCCAAGCCAGCAGCGCCGCAAATAATTGAATTGGAGACAAAATTTGGCCTTCACCCTGCCCACCAACGTAGTATCAATCCGTATAAGAGCGTACCCAATCCAAAACGGAAAGGAAATAAATAATAACTCTAAGCAAGGAAATTTTGAAAAAAGCAGAAATTGCAAACCTGTGCTATTTTCAGTAGCGCTACACTATCCGGTTCGCGAATAGACATCCGCATAAGTGATGCCAAATAGCCAAGGACCCATTTTTCCATCCAACATGGCACATGCCTGTAACACATGTAGTATAATAATCGTCACTGCGGAACCATAAATCTTCATGGAGGGTAGAAGCTTAATCAGTCACCTAACTGAGTACACGCGGAGGTTGAGTGCATGGCCTACTCCCAGGTATTATTTGTAATTATTAGTGAATGGCAAGTTTCTTTACAGCCATCAATGCTACCGCCTTAGAAAGCGCACTTGCACGCAATTATAGGTCCAGCTCAGGAATTTGGGATAATTCAAAGGTACAGTCCACGCTGGTCGCAATGGAAAGAATGGGGAGGAGACAGTAAGATTCTTCCATAGCAGTTCCACCCTCTTTTTTCTACAGGAGGAGGACCGAACAAAGAAACACACACGGTAGACCTGTCTCCGCCCATATGATCAGGGTGGACTGAGCACTGAAAGAAGTTTCTGGCCTACCTGCCCTGATTAGCAGCCCCATTTCGATGCATATTGAGCGTGATGACATTCACACAAGTCGCTAGACAAACCATAAATAATGAGGATACGTAGTACATGCCTAGAAATATAGTAAGGTTTCAGGATGGCTTTTCACAGACGATCTTCAACCTCACCAATCAATGGCACAGCTTCTGAAGTGGGTGGAATTGATTCCGTAATCGATTGCAGATAAACACCCATACTGAGAAGAGTTGTGATGATCATATTGATTTTCTCTCCAGTTTCTGGTGGCATTAGAAATCCTAACACGGCCATTGAAGAGATCAGAACACATGGAATGATCTGAAAATGCGCAAAACCTCGAGAAAATCTTAGGAAAATGAAGTGATCTTTTTGAAACAGGCCAAGATCGTAATGCAAATTAAACAAACGCCTGGTGTCACAGAAAAAAGAAAAATAGAAGAAAAACATGAAGAACGGCAAGAAATTATGGTGTCCAATAACCCAGAAACCATTGAAAATAAACTAACAATGTCGCGCTTTCCTACAGTTACCGGCGGTAGCATACCAGTAGAAGTCAGGGATTCAAGTGTCATACACGCTGGTCGTATGGGCGGAGTCCAACTACTGCTGGGCCTCCCTCGTTGGTTTGCCTCTCGTTTTGTTACGGTACAATGTGGGGGACTGACAACGAGTATACTGGAAAAGGTTCTAGAGTTGGGTATCTTCGATGGGGCGGGGCACGTCCTGGCATGAGGCGCATTCAGGGCACGTCTTGGAGATCCCCAAAAAGGGGTCGTATTTGGTCGCTGGCAGGAATAAATCGTATTTTGCCAAAAGCCTATTCAACAGCAATACGTGCGCTTGCGACACTGGCTACTGAGCATTACTCCCTTCCCTCCAACCCTCTTGTTACGACTTCCCTTTCCCGTCCTTCAAAAGTCTTCTCGATTATCCAGATGTCGGTCATCAGAGATTGACTTAATTTCGACCTCTCTGTTGAGAAGTCGTAAAGGATACTGTGTTCTGAGCCCCGCCCACACGATGAACCTATAGCTTTTAGATATCTTTTCGTATTGGTTACATACGATGGTGCCATAGAAATAAAAATAAAAACGAGTGAAAATGAAAAAAGTTCCAGAAATAAAAGAAAATGTGTGTGAAAGCGTATCAAAAACAAGCGTACATGGTTGAAAATATAGAAGAGCGGCCGACGATGCATTTTGATACGTACAACTATTGTAGGCCATTTTGCAAGTGGATTGGATGGAAAGGTGATGACCTGTAAAGAATTTGCTCGAAATATATAGACATTTGGGCACAGTTCGGTTTCGTGGGGGCACCAGATGTTCAGATGTTACTTAGCGAAGTTGCAGGCCTTCTTGTCAAAACTTGTCTGTGAACAAGGCTGCTCAGTTGCTGTCAGTTTGCTGGCTTGTCAAAAGTCTTCATATCTCACCATTATCATGAAATAAGGTGCAAAATGCCCCTCTCAAACCGAACAGCGCCGATATTTGTGTCATTTATTTGATGAATATTCATTTCAAACCTCCTTTATCGCGATCATGTCCAGAAGGTCGAACTCGCTGTTGTTCATGTAGCTACTCAGATCACCCTTGTCCGTGTTGAGCCCCAGATCGATTTCCGTAGCGTCGTGAGACCACGAGGCGAATTTTAGATCGCATTCCTGTAACCATTCGTTTTCCCCAAGTCGTAAAAAATAATAATAATAATAATAATAACAATAATAGCAGTAATAATGATAATAATAATAGTAATAATAAATAAAAAAGGATAAAGTCTTCGCCCTTAGTCAATCCCTTTCGGGATGCGGCACGCATTTTAGTTCTATTCAAAATCGTAATTAATGCGATGTAGCCTATACAATAAATGCGGAGGCCAGCCGATGTACAAGTCGGTGTTTCTATCCTCCCAGACAGGCCTGGTACCAATTCACCGTCCCCGAAGGGTGAAAGGTTTGGTTGGCCTGGGCGGGAGCCAATCGGCACCTTTCCCGGACCGTGGCGCGTAGCAAGGGTACCATCTGCTACTACACCACCTGCGCCACCTTTCGCCTCAATAATAATAATAATAATAATAATAATAATAATAATAATAATAATAATAATAATAATAATAATAATAATAATAATAATAATAATAATAATAATAATAATAATAATAATTATTATTATTATATATAGTAATGGCAGTAATAGTAATAATGACCATTATCTACGCAAACCATTGTGGTTTGAAGCTAGCCTGGATGTGAAAGCTTGTAGTTAACGTTCTTCTGAAGCCTAATTTCTTTTTCAGCGTTCAGAGAACGACGGTTTTCACTCTGAGCGGATAAAGATACGGGGTTGGGGAAATAGGAAAATCGCAGGCGGCGGACCGCCCTTCCCTTTGCTTGTCTTTCCTTTTTCGATCGTAGTCCAGCCTGGACAGGAGTGCTTCGCGGATGCTTCTGTTGATTACGCTGCACTTTGTAGTGTTTTGTAGTGTTCTAAGCTGAGAACGGCGCCTCTCACAGGACGGAGGCTTGCGTGTGTAGCACTACTTGGGCTAACTTGTCTGGGGATAAAATGCGTCTAAGTTCTTTCAGGTACATAATAGAAGCAGAACTTATCAGGAAATAAGGTCAACCCTACTCGGAAGTCTTTGATCGAAGATAAACTGGTCATGTTTCACTAGACAACAAAAAAGGGTGCAATATACTCCAAAAACTCACAACGGGAATTCAAGAACTCACTGGTCGTCAAAGGGATAATATCGGACGCGAATCGGGCACGAGCTACGGAAAAGTGCCGAAAATAACCATGTGACGTTGCCGTTTGATGTCACCATGATGTCAGTGGAAACCAGCGACGCATGATATTCCCGAATAGCACTGAAATTTGTCTGGCTCCTACTCCGGCACTAACGACTAGGAAATTTGAACGGGTTTTCAGTTGTCGATTAATCAATGATAAGCCTCGCTTTGATCAAACAATTTTTGTTGATCTGAATTCATGTACTTCCACTTTGACTAGGAACTTTTATTGGTTTATTGAAAGCAATGCACTACCTACACAATCACCTTCGGAGCCAACTAATGCATTCTATATTTCGTTCTCCCGAGTGAATTTGCTACTAGTATATCGGATCGCCAACCAAGCCGTCCTCGGATAATAGACGGCTTGGTTGGCGATCCGATATTTGACCCAAGGGCCGTGAGCGTTGAAAGCTGCCCAGTTGCCACTACGCCACAGCCTGCTCAGGCTGTTATAGAAGATAAACTTCACATCTAGTGATTCATCTAGTCATTTACTCCTTATTTACTAATTTGTTGCATGTTTATATTGCTCCCGATAATTCGTTGCCTTTTGCACTTGTCCCAGCGCTTCTATTGAGATCATGAATGAATATATAATAAACTAAGCATATAAATGAACAAACGTAAGAGGTTATTGATCAGGGGCAGCGTATGCTCTTTTTCCTTGAAAGAGGGAGCCAGACGCAGCCACATACAGCCTAATTCGGTGTGGATGATGGTGTGGGTCAGGGGTTTGGGTTTGGCGGAAACGAAATTGTTGACGAACTAAGCAACTGAAGCGCATAAGCAAAGGACCACGTTTCTTTGGAAGGTCCGCCAGCATGCGGGTACAGCTCTATGGGAAGAAATAGTTAAAGGCAGTTGGCACGATGGTTTCCTACTTAGCCTAAAATGCTAGTAGGGCGCTGTATAGTGGGGAAATGGCGAAAGAACGGAGTGAAACGGTCAAAATCCTGCGAAGAAAAAGCCTCCGTTCTCAGTGACTTGTAAATCGATTTCGGACGAGTTTCCCGTAGGCATCTTACCAATCACCGCTACCGAAGATACGGCTGCATATGTGTACCCATGTATGCATGCAGCATCACGGCCGCTTCATACCAATCCCTTCGCTTCATAATTTGCTTAGCAAATGAATGAATACAGTCAGGAACGGTCGTCCATTTGTGGGCGGGCGTGGCGGGCGTTTGGGACGTAAAGTTGTGGCATAGGGCCCTTATAAGGGCACCTTCCTCGGGGAAACCGCTATGCAGCGCCTGCCCAGGGTCGCGGAATTCTATCCTGCCAGGAGTATTGATCCTAGTCGTCTTGGGGGATTTATCGTGCCAACTGCCAAATGTTACA